AATAAACCACCGACACGTTTGTGAACTCCATGTTTCTAAGTAGCAAAACAATACATGGAGGCTTCTCTCATGGAGCAGTTTCCTCTCCCTTTTGATATACAAAAAAAACTAAGTAAAAAAAATATGAATCCACAGTCAGAAAGCGCGTAAAAACATTTAAGCTGAAGAACCTTCAGTTAATTTAGTTTTGTTTTATTACACACTTATTATTTATTCATTAAGTCGTTATATACTGTAATAAATGCACATATTCTAACTTATTTTATTATTTCATTCTTATAAGTCTTTGTTAACAACTTGACGAGCGACTTGATTTTCCGTTATTCTGATAATACTACATACTGATCATTTAAGATAACGTATGCCCACCGGGGAAATACTCCTAAGCACTGTATATAATGTATAAAAATACAGGATTATATATAACTGAGGATCATATGATGAGGAATCCGGGTCATACAGCGTTCTGGGGCACAGCTGCTGTTAGAGAGAGAATCTGATTACTTTGTGATGCTGCCTGTTATCTGATCTCGATTTCTTTTCCCCTTCAACTTCTGTATTTGTAGAACTACAGATTTAAAAATGCAGTTCAGTTATTTCAACTGTTTTCAGAGGAAATTAAACTCTCACTCACAAACACAAACTCACTTCCACTAACAACACTCACACACACACACACACACACACACAGCTGTTTACATGAAGATGGATATATGACACAGTGTTGTCCTTTGCCCCTGCCTTCTTCTCCGACTGCTGATCACATCCAGCAGAGTCTGTTCCTCCTCACACACCACAGAAGCGTGAACCTGCCGAACCCTGCTGCTTTAATTAATCTCACTGACTTTGTTAATGTTTTTGGCTGGCTGACTGCCTCTGTGTGTGCGTGAACGCCCTTTGAAGTATTTGGGACGAAGCACGCTTGAAACAACCGATCTGATACCTCCAGAGGAAAGAAGAGGGTTCCTCTTTTTCTTCTCTTCTGTGACGTCACAGTGAGCAACATAACTCTCAACATGTAAAACCAGAAGAAAGAGTTGACGAAGTGTTGAATGAACAGAGAGGCGATGTTGTGTGTTGGATGTGGTGGACCGACACACCGACACGACCCGCCGGTCGGCCCAAAACTGCAGCACAGTTGTTCGGATCGGCCCGAGAGCAGAAGATTTATAATCTTGTAATATTTATTATAAAAATGCAACTGTGATTAATAATTATCACTTTAAATAAAATTCATACAGTATTATGGCACAATGTAATTTATTTAAGCTCGTACAAACTATAAAATATTTGTTTAAAGCAGAGATTCGGTCGGACCCAAATCTTCAGCCAAATCGGTTTGGTCGCTGGACTGCTGATATATAATAAAGAATGAATGAAGAATGAATAAGAGAAGTTTGATAATTGAAAATTTTTTGCTGATCATAGGCTAGTAGTTCACCGTCAGAGAGAGTGAATATTATTTAATATTATTATTGTGTGCAATAAGTTATTCTGTATGTTTATTTAAAATGTTTATTATGTTCCATTCATGAAACACTGACTACTCACATTCTAACTGTCTCGCCATGTTGAGTACCTGATTCGCGATCGCTAAATCGTTGCAAACAAGTTGGAGTAACCGTATAAGTATAGCGCGTTACTAACAGTGTATTTTTTCAGTAATGGATAATCAATTAATTACTTTCCCATCTTGCAACGCCGTTACCGTCACTGGAATGTAAAGTGGCCGTTAGTGGCGTTACTACAATTTGTTGAATGAAGTTGAGATGTCAAGGCTTTCTGAAGCCACACATCAGCTGCCGAGAGGAGACAGGGTGGGTGACACCGCGTGGAGACCATTGCAAGAACACTCGTCTGCGCGAGCTGCTCATTTTGTCTGTGGTGACTAACGCTAATGCTAACGCTAGCTGCTCGCTGTCGCTAATCACCAAATTTAATTAAGAGAGATGATAACATACAAATCGTTTCCAACAGTGAGTTAATTCAAGGCAATCAGTTGTGAAGGTTGGTTGTATATACTGTGTCTAACAGCAGTGAGTTCTAGTGTGCAAATGTCAGTTTATCGCTTAATTAAAAACGTGTTACAATATCTGGTAGAGACATCACATCAGTCATTAACGTTAGCTGAGGATATTTGTTCAAGCTTAGAACCAGTTTAAGATTATAAGCCCGAAAAACACCACCATCTCTTTTTTGTGTGTGTGCTTTTAATGGTTTTAGTGTAAATGAGTTAATGCCATAGCCTCCTCTCTCTCGTCCTGTAAAGTTTTTAACACATATCTCACAGATATTATTCAAGTGCTCCTAAGACTGGTGACATTAGCAAGTGTTAGCTAACTGTTTACACTATAACGTTGGCAGCCTAAAGATGATATTTTTGAAGTGCGTTCTTTTCATGGCAGTCGAGGTGCGAAAATGTTGTCTTTCGAGCCATTTACTGTATCATACGAATCGTAAATCGTAGCAAGCTAGCTAATGCTGTCAGTACGTCTATGCCGGTACTCGGTAGGTACTCAAAGATGCGTAAGCTGGGAAAAGAGCGGATGACTTAAAAGGTCACGTGACTGATATTCATGAATAATGACAGCCGGTTAATACTTAGCTCGATACACAGCGTGTATACATGTTACTGATTTACACTAAACTTGAGACCTTTATTTCGGTTGGCACACACCTTTACAGTATCTGTTAATGTAACTCCAGAGAGGTTGTGTGAACTCCAGCATACCAACACACACCAGTTTATCCAGGCTACACTTCCTCACACTTACATTCTTTAATTATTTTAATTTGTCTCATTGCCTCCTGAAATGTTTCAAATCCAGTAAATCAAAGCACTTTGTAGCTTTAAGTACTGTATAAATAGAGTTTATTATTATTACTCAGCAGCTAAAAACTGGCTCCATAACACACAGCGCTGTATGTCAGTGAAGGATGAGTCCATGTGTAAAAGCAGTTTATTGACGGCGTTGTGAGAACCGGCGTGCTGCTTACAGAGTTTTTTTTCTGCTGTCCAAACACTTGCCGTGTGATATACCCAGGATGTAGACGCAGACATATGTTTGGTTAACCTCGGCGGCACCGGAGCTTGAGCCAATGCAGACTCCCAGCCGTGGTATTCTGGAGGAAGTCCGGTAACGTGTTACACATGGAGGGCATTATTCATGATTACAATTCAATAAACAGAAAGAGAGGCTGGAAACGGATCTGTGCTCGGACTCTTCCTCCTGACCTCCTCCTCCTTGTCTTCTTTCCTGTCTGCTCTTCCTCCTCATCTCTTCTGCTCGCTGTTGTTCTTGTGACTGCAGCTTAACAACAGTTACAGAACAAACCTGATACTCAATACTTAATACTTGTAGTTTATTAATTACATTTTCTGCTACTTTATATGATTAATTTTATATATACATCTTAGTTTTTACTCTAACTTTAAAAATATATAAAAATCCTGTGAGGGAGCTGGACTCGTTTCTCTGGGACCGGCACAAACTGGTGGCTGAAATACAACCACATCATCACCCAGTCCGCGGCGCCCGGCAGGTTGATGGTTGACGTCTGTCGCCAGGAAGAAGATGTCCACCCCCTGCAGAGACAGAGAAAGACATTTTAGCTTTTATCTCCCCACCTCTTCCAAAGAAAGTTTTGGTGCAAAAATGAAAAGTTTTGGTGCAAGTATGAAAGTTTTGGTGCAAGTATGAAAGTTTTGGTTCAAAAAAAATAAAAAGTTCTGGTGCAAAAGTTAAAGTTTTGGTGCAAAAGTTAAAGTTTTGGTGCTAACAATCATGAGATCTTGCCAGAATCAATCTATGTTATTGTGGTCAGTACAACGGTAGCGGACCAATCAAGGTCCTTCAGTGCAGACCACGCAGTTTGTTAAACTCAAGGTTCCCAAACTTTTCCACGCCAAAGGCCCCAAACTACATCAGTCCTTTTGCAGGACTACTTTAAAGGACCAGCGTGTCACATTTAGTGGCAGCTAACAGTGACTGTACTGTATTTGACGGGCTGTGTGGCATTTAGGAGAAACTACGGTGGCTGCGCAACCGTGAAAGGCCGTCCCTACAACTGCAGACCCACCAGGTCTCCTGTTTGAAGCCCTCGGGTCTTCGCTCTCCGCCCCTGCAGCTCGCTGCTGTGAACACATCAAAGGTGTCACAGTAGCTTTTGCTAATCGATCCACCCTCCCCACTGGGGCAGGAAGCAAGAGCCCTCCCCTTTCACAGTAAGAGCCACGCACTCCAATGAATGAGCCTCATACACCATGTAGTCAACCACAGCTCATCATCCACCCACATTCAGTCATTAGATTCTTTAAACGAGTTTAAGGAATGTATCGATTACCTATAATATATCCAACAATGTACAAAAAAAAATATAAAATACACAAATCAACTAAATCTAACTCCATTTTAGTGGATTTAAGGTATCAGTTAATCAAACCCATCTTTTCAGACCTGCTTTCAATGTGTGATTAATTATTAATTAATTAAAT